CTTGCTCTCTGTCTCCCCCATCAGACTGGGAGCTTGCCCTCCGTCTCCCCATCCCACCTAATCTGACTGGTTGCCGGGCAGGACACTGACCTGACATCCAACTCCAGCTGGCAGCCTCCAATCTTGAGCCTGGCACTGAGAGTGGGCACATTCCAAGGTCAGCCTATGACTTTCTCAGGCCCCTAGAAAGGCCCCAAGCCCTGGGGACCCCCAGGCAGGGCCAGGACACCAGAAGGGGCACCTAGCACCTGAAACCTCCAGATCAGAGCAGGGAGTCCTGCTGGCTGTGGGTTCCGTTTCTGGGTCTCAGTCTCCACATCTGTACAATGGGGGTGAGGACAAGTTGATGTCTGACTTCAGGAGTATAGGGAGCCTACACAGGACTTTGTGTAGATTTTAAAAAGGCCTCCCCTCTGGGTAGAGGCAGCCTTGTGGTGCACGGCTTAGAGATGACACCTTTGTGCTAAGAAAGGCCCTGTCCTGGGGCAGACACAGCCCCATGGTAGAGCTCAGGACTTGGTGACCAGAATATGGGCAGGGTTTCAGTCCCCTTGCCCTCGGCTGGGCACCTTTGTGCAGGGCATGGAAAGCACACTGTGAGCCATGGCTGGGTCTGAGTCTCTGGTGTAGTGCTTTCTGGGTCACTTGGCCAAAGGACAGAAAAGAAAAAAAAGAACACAGGAAAGAAAAACGCTGTCTCAGGCTGCCTCCTGCTGGCCAGCTGCTGCATCACACCCACAGCGCAGAAACGTCAACTTAGGCGAGCCTTTCTCTGCCTCTGCCCTGGCCTGCAGGGGCGTCCTCCTGCCTGCAGAGACCCTGGACCCAGGAGTCAGGGTACCAGCCCTCTGGGGCGGTTCTGGCTACCTCGGTCCCCGACATTCATGCCTGTCAATTCCACACTGACTCAATCCTCTCGTACAGATGGGTGCTCAGAGAGGGGCAGGGGCTTGCCAAGGTCACACAGCAAACTGATAGCAGAGTGGAGACTAGAACCAAGGCCTCCTACCTGTCAGCCCAGCCCCTCTGAGGAGGGGATCCTGTCATGGGGACCGGGCCTGGGCCAGGCATCTTACAGCTGAATCGAGTGTACCTCTTCACTCAGCAGGCTGCAAGCTCCCCCAGCGCCCAGCACAGTGGCTGTGTCTCCTCCATTAGACCTGGAGCCCCCCGAGGGCTCGCCCTTCTCTCTCTCTCTCCCTATCCTGTCTCATCTAGCGGGTTGCCTGGGGGTGAGGCACTGAGACAACCTGACTCCTAACACTAGCTGGACGCCCCCAATCCTGAGCCTGAGGTCGGCCTGCGGCCTTTTTGTCAGGCCCTGTCCCCAGGCGCTGGAAGCCCCAGGCAGGGCTGGGCCTCCAGAGAAGTTCCCCTTCTCCTTAGAGTTCCCCTCCAGGGAACTCTAAGGAGAAATGCCCAGGCCTCCGCCCCCTGGAGAATGAATGGGAGGGGGTTTGGTTTACAGATAAGGAAACAGAAGACAGGTCTTCCTAGTGCTCTTTGGACAAAGACCAGGTCCCATTGTGAGGCCCTGCGGGAGCTGACTCCTGCCTCCTCTCTCCCCGCTGTGGCCCTCTCTTCCTCCTGGGACCCGGCCCTGACCCTTCGTCTCACTTCCAGACCTCGGCCGTGGCCCGCACTGTTCCCTCTCCCTCTCTCTGCCTAGCCACGGCCCACTCATCCATCAGCAGTGGGTGCTGTCCCTTCACTGTCCCCTCCCCTGGCTGTGCCTGCCATGCCCGAGACCAGATCGAGTCCCTTTTCCACTCTCAAGGGCTCTTTCCTAGCGCTCCCAGGGACGAGGTTCTAAATGTACCTGGGTTACTACTGGGTTGACACCTGCCTCCGCCACCAGACCGTAGACTCCAATGACCAGGTCCCTGCTCACTGACGCTGTCAGCTCAGCGCCCGACAGTGCGTGGCGCACAGGAGGGGCTCAGTGGGTGTGTGCTGGATGAATGGAAGGTCTAATCGGTCCTGACGTGGGACTTTGGACGAGTCTCGCTTTCTTGCATTCATTCGACCAATACTGATTGAACATCTTCTACGTATCGTTCTGGGTGTGGGATTCAGATCCGGATTCATCTGGCTCCCAGCTCTGTTCTTTTCTGCTGAACAAGCTCTGCCCTTCCAGAGATGTCCGAGGCCTGGGGAGGGGCACCCTCCGCCCACCCTCGCCCTCTCCCACTGGTCCCCCGGACGTCGTATACGCCAGTTCCCTGCGGGCCCCAAGCGTCCCCACCTTCAAACCTTCACGCACACCAAGGCCCCCGCCCACCGCCGACAGCCCACTCAACCTTCAAACTCCGCTTCCAGGGTCACTGTTGCCTGGAAGCCATCCCCATGGCCCATTGCAGAAGTGACTGTCCTCTCACTTGGCTCTCATGGGGCTGCAGCACTGATCCCCTGACCCCGAGTTATTTATGCACGTGGCTCTGGCAGCGTCCCCGCCCCATGCCCAAGGAGTGCCCGGGCAGCGACAGATCTGATTCATTGCTGTAATGGCTCCTGTTGATTAATCTCACTCTGGTCAAACCCTGCAGCATCTCCACGCTCCAGTGCCCACACCGGGGCCGGGCACTCAGGGCTGGCGAACGTCTGTTGATGAACAGGAGTAAGGCCGCAGGAGTGGGGGCGCTGCCTGGATCCCCAAAATCATGATGGGAGAAGGGGATGCGAGATGTGAAGGGCACGCCTGGACCCTCTCTCCCCGGCCCCTCACCCACGGTAGGCTCCGGTCCCCTCTCCCCCACGAGCGGGCACAGCAAGGAGGGCACTGGGGCGGGCAGGGGAAGGTCACAGGGCAGATGGGGTGAGCTGGGAAAGGACAGCCTGCCCCGGGGGAGGACAACCACACATCTTGGAGCTGTCTGGACACTGTCCGCTTCAGCAGAATTCCAAGGACTGGGAAGGTGAACGTGCGCGAGCAAGGGGAGCTGCCACCCCTGCGTGACCCGGGCCGGGCTGGTGCCAGGGCTGGGCTGACAGGCAGGAGACTGGGGTTCTAGTCCCCACGCTGCCATCAATTTGCCATGTGACCTTGGGCAAGGCCGGGCCCCTCTCTGAGCACCAGTCAGTACAATGAGAGGATTGAGTCAGTGTGGAACTGACCGGCATGAACGCCAGAGGCCGGGACAGCTGGAACCAGCCCAGCCCAGCCCAGCCATATGTCTGAGTTGGTCAGCAAGGGACCCTGGGTGGGTCACTGGCCAGCCTCATCCTCCTGTCGCTGGCTTAGGCTGAAGGGGGCGCAACGGGGTCCCCAGGCATCCTCTCCCCTGTGAACAACCCTGTCCTCTCTGTAGGGGTCCCCCTCTCTGGCCCCTCTGCTGCCAGAGCCGCCAGGCTTGCAGCTGGGAACATCAGCAGTAGTGACGGAGCGTCCTGCGTCACGGTGAGTCAGAGCCTCCTTCCGCGCCAGATCTAGTCACTCCACGCCAGGAAGAAGAGCAAGGACACCTCTGCTTCCTCGAGCCTGGGCCACACAGGACGGGACCCCAGAGCCTGGCCACAGGCAGACCTGTCTTTCCCTCTCCACACCAGGGCAGGCACACACCTGGCACTGGGCAAGGCACCGGGTGTCCACGGTGATCACAGGCTGTCCCTTCAGAGCCACCCTCTCTGAGGCCAGACTTGCAGGGCAGAGTAAGGGAAGCTCATCACAGCTGTGACTGCATACAGCACTGGCCTGGGGACCGGCACATCTGTCCTGTTCACACTGCACATGGCAGGCCCTTCACAGATACCCGCTGAATGGAGGTTCTCAGGGCAGGGGAGCTGTGCAGAGGTGACGATACGTCATATTTGTGTTCGCTGTCACTATTATTAATATTTGTCTTTAGCCTTAAGCTAAGTACCTACTATGTGCTGGTCATTTTGCATATATTATTTCATTAGCCCTCACAGCAATCCCATGGGGTGAGATTTTTATCCTCACGTAATGGATGAGAAAACTGTGGCTCAGGGAGGTGAAGCAACTTGGCCAAGGTCACACAGCTTGTGTGAGCTAAGTCCTCACTCACACCCAGGTCTGCTGACACCAAGGCCAGGCACAGAACCACGCTCCACCAGGACGCGACTCAGCAGAGGACACCTGGCTTAGAGAAAGAAAAAGAGGACACCCCACCGCCCAACTACCCTATATCCCCCCAGGCCCAAATCCTGTCCTGCCAGAGGCCTCCAGCTCCACCCCAGGTCCCTGCCTCAAACCCTTCCAAACCCTGCTGAGCCGTTACTGGTAAACCACGATGCACAGGGACATGTGGGGATAGAGCAAGATGCAGTCTGTGACAGTGAGTGCCTCGGAGCTGAGTGCTACGTGCACCAGAAGGTTCGCTAAGGGACCTCTAGTTACCGTCCTGGGAATTGCGGTGTGTGTAGAGGCACGTGTGTATAGATGTGTGTGACTCAGCGTGTGGGCATGTGTGCAAGTGTGAGCGTGTGAGTGTGCGTGATCGGAGGGGCCGTCCAGCTTGGGAAAAGGACCCGTGCCTCATATTACTGTGCCCTAGACAAGCCCTGAGAGGCAGCCTTGCCCCTCCCTACAGCCACTGCAGCAATGAGGGGATGTACTATCCCCACCCTCTGCACCCCTACCCCTGGGCCAGTGTCCTCCAAACAAGGCGTGACAGTCAAAGTCATTGATGTCCACAGCTAAAGGCTCGCCAGAAAGGCCTCTGACTTCTGCAGCCTCAGTTTCTTCCTCTGCAAAATGGGCCTAATGGAATTATCCTAATTGGGCACAGCCCAGTGCTGGTTGTGCGGGGCTGTTAAGTCAATGTTGTTTACGCTGTGCCCCAAATGCCAGAACCTCCCCGCCCCCTCCGCCCCTTCCCTGACCTTCAGCCAGGTCACCCACTGGGCGCCCTGCCGCCCCGCCCCCGGCCTTGGCAACAGGTGCACCCCCGCCTCCCGCGCCGCGCTCCCGGCCCCGCCCGCCCCGCGGAGTCGCCCGCCCCTGGCAGCAGCGGGCGCGGCGCGGGAGGCGGCGGCGCTAGGCGAGCGGGGAGCGCGGCAGCGGCGGCTGGGACGACCCGGCGGGAGCGGAGGCCGAGCCAGCCGAGCCGAGCGCGCCCACGCCCCTTCCCCGCGCCCGCCGCCCGCAGCCCCGGCCCGCGGAGACATGAGCGCCCGGCGGCCCGACGCACCCCAGGCGCAGCGGCGCGGCCCAGCGGCCCCGTGATGGGCTCCTGCGTGTCACGAGGTGAGGGGGCCGCGGGCGGGTGGGGTCGGGCTCCCGAGACCCGCGCGCGACCTGTCCCCTCGCCGTTCCAGGGGAACTGGGGGGTGAGAGTGGCGACCCGCCCTTCACGGACCAGCCGCACCCCCAAGGGACAGGGTGCCCAGAGGGGGACAGGGATGGTGCCGGATGGGGGTGCAGCGCAGAGAGGGAGCGTGTGGAGGTCACCGCATCCCCGCCCGGCCTCCCACCCGGGCAAGCGGCACGCAGCAGGGTCCCCGTGCCATGCTTGCTTCCTTCCAGCCAGCCACACGCCCCCTGCCGTGTGCCTGGGGGCGGGGGAGGCTCTGGTTCTTCCTGGCTTCCCTGGAGGGACTTGGGGCGGGGGCACCTGGAGTGCCAGTAGACCCCCCCACACCCCCCACAAGACACAGACCTGCTGGCTTACCGCCCTCCCCGCAGCTCCTTCCCGCCCCTTGCCCGCCGGTTAATGGTGGTGAACAGGTTATAAAGAAGGTTCCCCTTCCCCCACCTTTATCCCTAACTCCTCATCCCACCTCCATCCCTGGTCAGGGGACAGGAAGGGACAGAGGACAGCTGATGCTCCTAGTTACCCCTGGGCCTTTCTCTGTCTCTGACCTGGCACCCTTCGCTCTCCCTAAGGTGGTCCCTGGGAGCTGAAGGGACCTGGCCCTGCCTGGGGGCCTGGGGTAGGCTTGGGCCTCTTCTGTCCTACTCAGGGTATGCAGAGCGGGGCACCTGGGCTGGGGGATGGGCAGGTTGGTCTTGGGAGCCCTCCCGCCACCAGCTTCCCAACAGGCTGCTGAGCAACATCTTAGCCAAGAGGTCAGCCTGGGCTGTTCTCCCAATTGGTCTCTTCACCCCGCAGTGGGACAGGGGGCAATGCTGGAAGTGGGGGTGACTCTGGCCTTGGCTCAGGCTCTGCAGACTGAGGCCAAACCCACTGACCCCAACCACAGAGTCTTGGGGGACCACCACATCCATCACCCCCAGTAGCTTACTCAGGTGTGAACCGGCCTTGGGAGGAGCTGGGCAGGCCCCAGAGGGGACCTTGCCATGGGGGGCGTTGAGGAAGGAGCATAACACCCCTCCCCCCATCCTCGGACTCTAAAGGGCTCTGTTCACCAGTTCACGTGGGCCATTCAGGTAGGTGGCTCAGGATGTCTCTGGAAGGTGTCAGGAGCGGGATCGTGGGTGGGGGAGGGGAAGGCGGAGGGTCCGGCTGTGTGAGGTTCATTTACTCATCCATTCATTGAGCTGATGTTAACATGATACCTGCTGGGTGGGGATCTGGATGTTTCCTCAGTCACTGTGTCTCTTCCTTATCACTTGGCCATCCCCTGCTGGGCACTGTGGGGACCCAGCCCCAGACGGACTGGCCTGTGACCTGAGGACCCACTGAGCACAGGACAGGCCTGAGAGGAAGACACGCTTACTAAAGTCACCCTGTGAGACTGAGGCCCAGGTCCTCCGACCCCGAACCTGGTGCTGCCTCCACAGCACCCTCTGCCAGGGCTGTCTGAGGTCACACCAGCCAAGACACATTCTCTCTACCCTTCCTTCTGCAGCCTGGGCTTCCTGAGTGCCCGCCCCAGATCTAGTTGTGTGACCCAGCCTTGTCCCCCTCCTGAGCGGATGGGGCCATTGAGAGTCTCAACACACACCCGGGAAATAGGTAAAAGGAGGTATATAGGTAAAAGGATATAGGTAAAAGGAGGTGTGGGGAACCACACGGGCAGAGGACACCCATCGTCCCAGAAACTCTGGGTGGCCGAACCACAGAACCACCCACCCACCCTCTACTTGTCACTAGTACTCACTCTCTGAGTGCTCACAGCTTACCAGGTACTAGTCTGAAAGTTTTAGGCACAAAAATCTAATTTTCGGATGTATGCTAACATAGTACTCACTTTATAAATGGGGAAACCGAGGCACGGGGCAGTCGAGTGGCTTGCCCAGGGCCACATAGTTTAGGAAATTGCAAAGCCAAGATTAAACTCTGGCACACGGACTCCAGAGCCTGGGTCCTTAGTCTCAGCGCACAGCCAGCCGTCGGCCCTGTTGCCTGCACTCGTCCTACCCGCCTGGAGCTGCACCTGGTCCCCACACCTGCAGCAATCGCTAACGATAGCCCCCACGTGCCAAGTGCGTCCCCGGGCCAGATACGCAGCCTGAAACTGAGGCCAGGGATTGTGAGCCTCACACTGAGCCTGGAGCCTGCACCCAGCTGGGGCCACCCCGACAAACCCTAACCCCAGACTCAAGCCACACCTGGGAGAGCCAGCCCATCCCAGCCTCCCCACTCCGCCACTCACTAGCTCTGGGACCTCCGCGAGTTACGGAACCTGGTGTGCGTGTGCCTCGGTTCTCATCGCTCAAATGGGAATCATAACAGTAGCAATGTCATAGGGTTTCTGGGGGGGATTAAGTGGCTGGGTTTATGTAAAACACTCAGACGAGTACCTGACACGTAGCGAGTGTGCGTAAAGGATCAGCCGTTACTCTCATTTTTAATTTTTACTGTCTGCCGACAGCCAATGCAGACCTTCCAGCTGGGAAAGGGGAGCCGCAGAGGCTTCAAGCCCTGTGCTACGTGGGGCAAAAGGAGCGGGTGGCGCGCACTTGAGGTGCAGAGGACATCGGGAAAGTGACCGGGACCAAATTAAGGCAACAAACGCTGTTTCCAGGAGCTATTTTGTGTTCATTATCTATTTTTAAGCCACCTTTTGTTTTGAGCGCTTATCCCGAGCCAGGCCGAGCCTTTGCTCCCCTGACCTAGTTAGTTCTTGTTCAACCCCGGGAGGGGGGACGTGGGGCTCAGAGACGGGAGGGTCTTACCCCAGGCCACACAGCCAGGCATGGAGAGGCAGGACACGAATCCAGGTCCGTGTGACCCCATTGTCCTCTGCGTCCTCATGTCCCCACATAGAGGCACTAAGTGCATGGCCAATGCTTTAAAAAAACCTTCTGGAGGCCTGGCACGGTGGCTCACGCCTGTAATCCTAGCACTCTGGGAGGCCGAGGCGGGCGGATTGTTTGAGCTCAGGAGTTCGAGACCAGCCTGAGCAAGAGCGAGACCCCGTCTCTACTAAAAATAGAAAGAAATTAATCGGACAACTAAAAATATATAGAAAAAATTAGCCGGGCATGGTGGCGCATGCCTGTAGTCCCAGCTACTCGGGAGGCTGAGGCAGGAGGATCGCTTGAGCCCAGGAGTTTGAGGTTGCTGTGAGCTAGGCTGACACCACGGCACTCACTCTAGCCCGGGCAACACAGTGAGACTCTGTCTCAAAAAAAAAAAAAACAACAAAAAAAAACCTTCTGGAATAACTCACATGGTTCATGTTTGGTTGGGGCCTGGGGCTCTGCCGCCACCAGCAGCAATGGTCTGCGTGGAGCAAATAGGAAGTCAATACCTGCGCCCCCTTCTCTCCAGCTCCAGGGTGTCCAGGGTCCCCAGGGTGTCAGCGCCACCCCCCCATGCCCTTAGTGCTGTGACCGCTCTGCCTACCCCCTCCCCCTGCTCTCTCCCCAGACCAACCCATCAGCCTCCTGGCCCCACCCTGGGGGTCTCCAACGCACTGGGCGCTGGGGGGCTGTGAGAGCAGAAATTAGAGATGGGGGATCTTCTTCTAGAAGGTCAGACATCTGACTGCGTCTGGGAGAAGGCACAAGCTCTAGGGGCTGACCAGAGCCACCCACCGTACCCACAGTACCCAAATCCTGTCTTGCCGTGGCCCTAGCCTTGCTGGTGAGCAGTCGTACTCGGGCACTGGGGAGACTGAGGAAAGGGCAGCCGGGACCCTGCCGTTGAGGAGCTCGCGGTCTGATGAGAGAGCTACGGCTGTACCCTGGGAGTGGCGTGGCGGGGCAGGCAGGACACACACACACTTGGAAAAACGACCTGAGGACCCTCTCTGGAGAGTGGCCCTGGTTAGAGGTTGGAGCACACACTTGGAGTTTCCCACTGGCCTAGGTTTGAACCTTGCATAAGTGAGTTAGCCTCTCTGAGCCTCAGTATCCCCATCTGTAAAGTGGGCATGATAGTATCTACTTCACAGGGTCGCTGTGAGGGTCGAGTGAGGGATCATGGGTGAAAAGGCCGAGGACAATACCTGACACATAGTAGGTGTTAAGTAAACAGTGGCAGCAATCACTGCAGGCCACACCTTGCCTATTAGGGCCGCTGGCGAGGGAGTCACCTAAGATGGCAGAGACCAATCTGGGAAGGCTGCCTGGAGGAGGTGAGGCCAGAGATGACAGAGGAAGTGGAAAGGAGCTAGGGTATGTGGAAGGTCTGGAGAGGAGCTTGCTGTCTGTCTCCGTCCTTGCTTAGGGATGGAAAAGGACCCCCTTGGGCAGCACAGAGCTGCACCAAGCCACTGATGAAGCTACCATCATGGCCCAGGTGACCTGTAAACAAATGTCCTAGGAGCAGGGAACACTTAGTCCACTCGAGGCCTGGCCTCTGGCAAGCTCTGTGGCCTGCTCCCATGGCTGTGACTCACCAGGTAGAGGGGCCAAGGGCTCGTCCTCAATGGCCTCCCTCTGCAGAGTCCCCAGGGCAAGCTCCAGCCCTGGGGACAGGACCAGAGGAGTGGCTGACCAAGATCCGTCCCATTGTCCAGAAAGAGAAACTGAGGACTGAGGCATGGAGTGGCTTATGGAGCACTTCATCCCCACGACGACCCTTACTGGACGGGTGTTATGTCGCAGATGAGAATCTGTGAGCCCACGGCCCAGAGCTGGCAGGAAGAGGCTGGGATGTAAACCCAGGACAGGGCCTGTGAGAAGAACACCCTGGACACTACATTCTCTTCAGAGCCAAGGACAGAGCCTTGGGCAGTGCACACGAGGGCAGTCGTGGGCTGGGGGACTGCATCGTGCATCCGGCCGCAGGTGCCCCGAGCAGCTGAGAGGAGAAGCCCGTAGCCGGCCAGGGAGGCGCAGCACGGGGGCTTTGGGCCCAGAGTGCTGCTCGGCGACTGTGTGGTTCCGAGAGG